CACTTTGTTCTTTGTCTCCTGGGCAGCCCATATATACGCCTTCGCAAACCCACAGGTATCTCACAGCGCCCTCCCCTTCCCACATGGAGAAACTAATACCTACTGTAGTACTCAAGTCTAGAATTAGAAAGTTTCAAAATCATTGCAAGGAATTTGTTCTATCACATATGCCTGGAAGGACCCAGCCCTTAGAAATTCTAGCTTCACTAATCTCTTGTAGACTCATTAAAAAAAATCACACTTCTCAACTGAAAAAGACTTTACGCATTCTTGTTGTGACTATAGCTCATTTTACACTATCAAGGCCTGTGGTAATTAAATGATCAAGGTCACACAACTAGTTACAAGCTAAGGCCAAACTTAGAACATGAGTTTCCTAGGATAGAAGCTAGGAGATGGCTCTGCATCACTCTACCTGCAACTAAAGATCCATTTATGCAGATGTTACTCTAACTCCTGTGGGCATCTTCCACACTTGGATCAGCCTAATTCTCCTCAGACCCTAAAATAGCTCAGTTGCCAGACAACTATTTATCTGCTTTGAACACCATGGAATAAAGAGTCAGGTGAAAACAAGTCTTAGAACACCAGAATAGATTCCAGTGAGTAAAACTCACTTCCCAAGGGTTTTGAAGGCCCCATGAGCAATCAGTAACTTGGCTTAGTGTTCAATGCCAGGCAGACAGCCAGTGAAGAGCAGTCCTTACTACAGAATGAGAAATGATGATAGGAATGAAACAGGAATAGAAAAACATGTTTAAAAAGAAGATGGAGGAACTAGTATATTCCACCATCACAGTTTAGGATCAGAAACTTTTGAAACAGATCTGCTTCGGTATGTACCTAAAAATAGGAATGTTATAAATGAAAATAAAATTAAAATATTTGTATGTGGTATGTGAGGCAATATAGTCTAATGACTAAAAACACAAACCAAACTTTGATAGTTATTCTTGCCTGGACATGGCCTCTTACCAGTTGTGTAACCCCAAGTAAACTACATAATCCCTTACAGTCTGGTTTTCTCATCTGGAAAAAAAAGAAAAGAAAATCTAGTCCAGTTTTTTAGGACAGTTTGGAGGGCTTAAAAAGCAGAACTTAACCACAAACTAGTGATTAATAGACGGCAACTCAACAAAATCCAGACAGACAGTGACTGCCAGGCTGAGGAGCTCCCTAGAAGCCTATACTACTAATTCATGCAGCCCTAGAGAGATCAAAACTGGTCAGTCCCAGTGATATTTCCAAAAAGGTGAAATGGAAAATTTGGCTGATCTCTTAAAATTGTTCTAAGGGAATACAACAAATGGAATAACATTCATTTAAGAAAATCTACTAAAGGGGCAGGGAATTTAGCTCAGTGGTTCCAGCTCCTGCTGTGCAAGTGCAAGGTCCTCAGTTTGATCCCCAGGACCAAAAAGCAAAACAAAACAAAACAAAACAAACCCCAAAAATAAGAAAATCTACTAAATCTCAGTAAGAACAATGAGAGCCTGTGGCATTTGGGTCATGATTTGCTCCTCTCTCCCACTCCTAGTTTCATGTTATAGAATTCTGTTACAAGGCACTCTATTACCAGAAAGTATAGCCAAGAAATTGGGAGTGTTCTCTCGCCTTCTGCCCCAGTTCTCAGTCTAGGGCTTTGGTTTCTCCTTGAAAAGGTGGTTCACTGATATTTCCCATTTCCTCAAACCCCTTCCCATAGGCATGGACAAAAGACACCATTCCCCTACCCAGCTCATCATCGGTGGAAACTCTACATCAAGGGTAGCCAACAAAAATATTGGGACCCTGATTATCCCATCTCAGTTCACTCATTGGTAGTGACCATACTAGAAGCCACAAGCTGAGAAGACCAGAAGTTATCACCCACTTCTAGCACTAGCTAGGATATACTCTTGCAGAAATAGGTTGGCATCACTGCAACTAGCTCTTGTGCGATAGCACAGAGATTTTCCCAGGAGAAGAGATAAATCAAAGGATGAAGAGCTCTGAAGTTTGTACTGAGGTTAATGACTTTATTTGGAGAAGATTATGGAGACTTCCATGGCTAAAGGTGTTGCTGAAAACATGGACAGCAATTAGGGTCCTGGTATCTTTGTGATACTGTTAGGAACAAGCAAAATGGCACAGCAACCAGAACTTTAACAGAAAGAAGTGCAGGGAAAGAAACAACCAAGTAAACTGTAGAGTTGGGAATGAGACGGACATAGAACATAGCAAAAAAGGTTTCAAAGCAGCTGTTACAAGCATGTTCAAGGAAGTAAAGGTAACAGTATAAGTAATACTTAAAGAATTAAAGGTGTAATAACAATATCTCATCTCATCAATGGAGAATAGCAATAAAGAAAAATGATTCTTTAAAATATTAAATGGATATCTAGAGTTGGAATATATAACAACTGAAAAGAAAAATTTTGTGTGGATGTGCAAGAGTAGATCAGAGGTAATGGAAGAATATGTGAACTTGATGACAGATTGATAGAGCTGTGCAATCTGAAGAACAGAAAGAGAATAGAGAGAAAGGAACAGAGCCTTGGAGAATTGTGGGACATTACTAAACACACCAATATGCTCATAAGTATAATACCAGAATAAGAGGTAGAAGAGAAAATGAAAGCGAAATGTTTGTAAAAATATAGCTGTAAATTTCCCAATTTTGATGAGAAACACTAATCTCTACACCCTAGAAGATTTTTAAAAATTCACCAAGTAAGATAAAAGCAAAGAGATCCACAATTAGATATGTCAGAGTCAAAATGCTGAAAGTGAAAAATGAAAAGAAAATCTTGAAAACAGTAAGGGTAAAATAACTTACCACCTACAAGGGAACCCTAAAAATATTAACAGCTGACTTCTCCTCAGAAACTATGGACTCCATAAGGCAATGACCAGTCTGGGCAACTTGGTGAGACCCTGTCTCAAAATAAAAACAAATAAAAAATTAAAAAGGGCTGAAGATGTAGCTCAGTGCAAAAGTCCTAGGTTAAAATCCCAGTATGGAAGGAAAGAAGGAGGAAGAAAGGGAGGAGGAAGGGAGGGAGGGCAAAGGATGGAGGGAAGAGAAAAGGAGGGAATGAGGGAGGGTTAGCAAGTACATGGAAAAATTGTAATATATTGATACTGAGACTATGAAATGGTACAGCCACTTCAGAAAACAGTTTGTCAGGACCTCAACAAATTAAATGTAGAATTACCAAATTACACAGCAATTCTACCCCTTGGCATATAGCCAAGAAAAATGAAAATATATGTCCACAACAAAACCTTGTATACAAATGTTTCGAGCAGTATTAGACTCAAAAAGTAGAAAAGATTTAAAAACTAGAAATAATCTAAGTAACCACCAGCTAATGAAAATATAAATAAAATGTGGTACACTGGTGAACTTAATTTGTCCAAAAATTTGGAAAAGATGGCCACATTCATGTTTGTGTGGGAAAGATGGCCACGGTCATGTTTGTTGCAGAAATTCCAAACAAAAACAAAATTTTGCCAAACGCTGTTTGCAAACCAAATTGCTTGCAAATAAAAGCATTCATGAACTGAGGTACCACTGTAAATCCATAAAGTGAATTATTATTCAGCAATAAGAAAGAATGAAATGCTGAACCATTCAACACAGATAAAACTAGAAAACATTATGCAACATGAAAGAAGTCAGTCACAAAAGACTGCAAAGTATGTTATTCCATTTATGTGAAATGTCCAGAATAGGTAAACCTATAAAGACAGAAAGCAGGTTAGTAGTTGCTTAGATCTTAGGAAGGTAGTAGGGAAGGAATAAATAGTGCTTGTTAATGAGTATGAAGTTTCTTTTTTGGGTGATAAAAATGTTCTACAATTAATTTGTGTCCTGGGAAACAGGAAGAAAATGTTCAAATGGGAAGGGGAACAAGGGAGGGAGAAGGGAGACAGGAAGGAAGGGAAGAGGAAAACAAGAGAATAGAAGGAAAAAATGGAAACAAAGCTTTTGTCAATACAAAGAACAGACATTGAAAGGAGGGGAGGGAATTAGAGAAAAAAAAGAATCAAGTTATATTATGTACAGGTACAAATTTCTTCTGATGAATGTGATCATTATGTACATCTAAAATGTACCAATTAAAAAATAAAATAATTTTAAAATTTTAAATTTAAAAAAATACAATATTTTAAATATTAAATTGTGTCCTACAATCTAAATATTCTACAATTAGGCCGAACAATTCTGTAAATACACTAAAACCCAGTAAACTGTACATTTTAAATGAGTGAAAGTAGCAGTACTTAACTTATATCTCAATAGAGATTTTTTTAAGTGACAATCTGTTTCTTACTGGATCTTTTCCTTGGCAAAAGAGAAAATGAAAAGAATAGAAACTAATTCCTCTATAACAGGAAATTAGTCCATGAATATATTCGAGATTGATAGCTCACTGTTCACTGCTCAAATCCCTGATCCAGACATTTATGTTGGTTGATAAAGCCAAGCCAGGGTGCTGGTAAGTAAAGGTAGAACTTGACCCTTGATAATTCCTTACATCAGCAGTTTCTATAAAAATAATAAACTCAAATCAACTCAGTGTGCAGCTTCTGTGCCTTCTTTCATTAATTCTAAGAAAATCTGTACATTGAGGACACTTGGAAGAAGTCATAATTTTTGAACCTTGTTTACCTGTATTTTAATTCTTTACAAAATTACACTAAATTCTGCTTGATTGCAATTATTAAGTCATGGGACTGATAAGAACCCGTAGCTATAGGTCCTCCATTTAATATGTGACTTTTTAAAAATCAGGATTTTTTTTCAGTAAGGAATAGAATAAAGGAAAAAGAATAAGGAAGAAAAAAGAAAAAGCATATAAGTTTAAAGAACTCATTAAGCCAGTAGAGTGGGAAGTTCTTATATTTTCTTTTCTATCACCAAAATTATAATATGAATCATGCATATTGTAATCAGTTATCCGAGTGACATTAGTTGTATAAAGTACACAGCAAACTGAGAAGACAAACGATACCTTCTGGGGGAGTCCCAATGCTGCTGCCAAGGCCCAAAATGGCCATCCTGTGAATTCTCGGGGCCAGCATGACAGCAGACTCTTCTCCCCTTTCCCAGTGGGGGATTCTGACTGGCTCCAGGTGGACATTCTCCAGCCCATCTTCTTGCAGGTTTTTGTACATGATTTGGATGGCTTTTTCTAGGTTCTTGGAGCCACTCAGTCTGGGCCCAACAGTGTCAACCAAAAGTGCCAATCGCTCATAGGACCGGTTCTGGTATTTACCATGAACAGCAAGGTTGATAATTGCTTTAGCAACATCTTGATAGCTGGCTATTTCTTCTTTTACTTCTTGAAAAGTTCTCTGAGAGATGTCATTCTTGTATATTGTTTTCCCGAAGCCCAGGGACAAAAGGTGAACAACACCAACACACGTGAAGATAAGGAACTTCATTTTTTTCCAACTGGTTTTCTTCCTAAAATAATCTATGTAAATCAAAAACATGTTTTAGGAGAAAGAATCTCACAGCTATCTGCCATAGCCTAGGGACTGCTTTTCAAAAAGCATTCCTTTTCTCTTCTCAAACATTGCTCAAACTCCATCATATTCAGACATATTAACTCCCAGAAATGGACAGGTAAAAAGGCAGAGATTGGCCCTATGAATAAGGCAGCATTGATTATTTAATTGCCATGAGGGCACTAGAGGTGGGGGTGAGACCCTAAGAGGTGTTTTGGTCTTTAGGGCTCTATCCTCAGGAACGAACTAACTCTATTATCACAGGAGTGGGCTCAGTATCATGAGCATGAGTTTGCTCCCTCTTGCTCTCTCTCTTTCTCTCACCTCCTATTCTTCCGCTATGGGAGGTCTCTTGTATTATAACACAAGAAAGTCCTCATTGGCTCTGACCTCTTGATTTTGGACTTTCCAACCGCTAAAACAGTGAGCCACTAAACATCTGCTTATTATTAATTACAGTCTGTGCTGTTCATTAACAGGGGCGCAAAAAAAGATAAAGACAGCATCTGTCAAGTCTAATGATTTAAAAATGGTGCTTTTATTTGTACGTCTTTATTTCATTTTTCTAATTCACTGTTATTATATTTTAGAAAAAGTATTAGTCTATAAAAATTTAAAATTTAAAAATGAGTCATCTCTGGGGCCAGGGATATAGCTCAGTGGTTCTGCCGCCTTCCTCGCAAGCACAAGGTCACAAGTTTGATCACTGGTATCAAAAAACAAAAAACAAACAAAAAAAATCAGTCATCTGAATTCTACAGGACTTTTAGAGAAGAACTATTGCCACTACTCTTCCAATTTTTCTCTTTTTTTCCCATTAAGTTTATTGGTACATTTTAGGTATAAAATACAGTTGCAGTCATCATTGGGATCTTGAACAATTACATAGGTATCTTGGTTCTTTTTTTTTCCCCATTCCCCTGCCCTCCCTTCACCCCCTCCACCCTTCCCTATTTGCAAAGACTTTCTTTCCATTTTTTTCCTTTTCTCATAGTT